TACCTCTGTCCTCGTCTCCGCCGTTGGCCCTCGTCCCCCGCCCGTGGAGAAGTAGGAGGAGAAGTAGGAGGAGCAGGAGGAGGAGGAGGAGGAGGAGGACGAAGTGGACTCTCTCCGTCGTGAGGCGGTCGGGCTCCGCCTGGAGACCGCTGCCACTGGAGAGGATGCGAGGCTGCAGGAGGTCGGGTCGGGGGCCAGCTCTGATTGACAGGCTCTACACCCTGCGAAATGCTTAAGAAATCATGGGTTAAGAAACTCAGAGTCTCAGCATTTGAATAAAAACCCAACATGTCTATTAACATCTTAGGAGTTACATTGAAACATTAAGAATAATCGAGACTCTGGCCGAAAACTTAAATGTTCTTAAGCATCGCCTAGGGTGTGCAGTATCTGCCTTTTCAGTCTGAATTCACGCGGCGCTTTGCTGACACTGCCTGGGTCAGCGGAGAAGGCCACCGCTGGCAGCAGTCTTGCGACCTCTTCGCTGGGTGGCTGCGCTGCGCGCTTTGGTTCCTGGGGTGCTGATTCCTCCAGGTCTCGGCTTTTGTTCGGGCTCTGACGGCGAGGAGGGATGGCACGCCCACCGTTCAACCTTGTTATGTCTGCACCAGATCTCTGGTCCAGACCCCCCCCCAGGCAAGTTGGCCCCATCTGTGCAGCGGGGGGCCATCCTCATTCGGAGGCGTGGTGGTGCCTCGAACCCCTCAGGGCAGACTCGCCACTCCCCTGTTGTATCGCGGCAACACCTGCGTCGATGTCAATCCTCCCTCCTCCTTCTCCTTCTCCGCGTCCATTGCCCTGCTACTCAAGAGGGAGGGGGTTTGACGAACTGCCAGGGTCCCCGACGCTGCTCTGCGGCTGCGGCTCGAGCGGTTGGGGCGCGGCCAGACGTCAATGGGGTGGGTTCCCCTTCTTCTCTGCTGCTTCCCTCAGAGCGTCAACGTCGTCGTCGTCGTCGTCGTCGTCGTCGTCGTCGTCGTCGTCGTCGTCGTCGTCGTCGTCGTCATTGCCGTCGCCGAAGCCGTCGCCTTCACCGTCGCCGTCGCCGTCGCAGTCGCCACTGCCGCCGCCGCCGCCGTGGTCGTCGTCGTCGTCGTCGTCGTCGTCGTCGTCGTCGTCGTCGTCGTCGTCCTCCTCAGAGCCGTCGGCACTGGCCGTAAGGCCTTCGACCAATGAAAGGGAGATTCCCCTGCTTCTTTCTCCGCTGTTTCCCTTCCGACTCCCGCCATTTTGTGTATATATATATATATATATATATATATATAAATTATATATATATATAGATATATCTAATTACCGCTATTTCTCCATCTCTCTCTCTCTCGTTGTTTTGTTGCTTGTTTGCTGTTCTTTAATTGTTTTCATTTTTTTTTTTTTTTCTCTCTCTCTCTCTCTCTCTCTCTCTCTTTCTCTCTCCCGCTCTCTCCCTCCCCACGGTGATGAAAAGGTGGCCTTCACGAACGGCCAAGATGGCCCAAGGTGGCCTCAAAGACTGCGAAAGTGGCTTCGAAATTGGCCAAGACAGTCCTGCATGGCCTCTGAGACGGTCGAAGATGCCCTCCGAAACGGACACGATGTCCCGAAGACGACCCAAGAAGGATTCAAGCCAGTGCCAGATGGCCCCAAGTGGCCTTCAAAATGCATCCAAAAAGCTCCAAAAGGCCCTCAAGAGGCCTCCTCCTCCTCATCCTCCTCTTACTTCTCCTCCTCCACGTTCTCCTCCTCCTCCTCCTCGCCCGTCGTCTTCCCACAAGTGTTCCCCCAAAGGTTTTCCACCCCGGATGGGGGAACATCCCGCCCAACTCCTTGGCAAATGTTTGCCCCGGCGTTTGCCCGCGTAGGCGGTTCCAAAGACAGGCAGCGGAGGTGGTTCGCCGTAGGCGTGTTCTGCCTCCACTCCAGTCTCCAGGTGCTCTTCAACCCGTTCTGGGATAATCGTTAGCCTGCCTTCGTGCGCTCCTCGGGTCCTTCGCGGCCTTGCCAACACTTCCGGATTCCTGGTCCGCCTTCGGGGTTGGCGGAACCGGCCGTAAGGCCTCTCCACAATATAATTCTTCTCCATGTCCCTATGATCTGGAGGTGACTGCGCTCGTCTTCTTTGTTTGACATGGCAATGCTGGCTTGAAAATTACAGTATGAACAAACTGTGTGCTGCGAGCTCGTTGAGCCCGCATGCACCTTCATGCAAGTACGACGCCCGTGTCCATGCAACGCGGGGAGCTCCCATGCTCGTCGTAGTTCGTAGTAGGCATGCGCGGCGACTATACCTCTGGAAAATCACCTCGACAATAAATAAATTACGACGGCAGCCGCACCTGCTGATCGCCTGGGTAGACCATGCCGGCGCGACCGCGCGGAAGGAAGAGGGGGGATGGGGAGACGACTGAGGAAGCTCCTCCTCCTCCTCCTCCTCCTCCTCCTCCTCCTCCTCCTCCTCCTCCTCCTCCTCCTCCTCCTCTCTTGCTCCTCTTTTTGCGCAGGTTCCTCCTCGTCTGCTCCTCCTGCGCAGCCCTCCGCCTGCGCGCCTCGGGGCGTCTGTGGGGGCAACGTCTCCCGACCGCGCTTCCACCTCTCGCGGCGAGGTTTGCCGGGGGGCACCTTGCCGGCCTCCGGGGCAGCTCCAGCCAGGCTGTGGGCGGACCCCTGAGAGAAGAGAGGGCTGCGAGGTGGGCCTTGCTCTCCTGGTGGGCTTACGGAGGAAGATGGGCATCGAGCGTCGTTGTGCTTAAATGCTTCGGCGTTGGGGTGCAGGCGCGTAGGCCGAGAGACAGGAATGTGCGGGGAGGGGGCGGGAGGAGACAAGGGAGGAGGGGAGCAATGCCGCATCAGACTTGCAGCGCGCGTCCGCTCAGCGAGAACAGGCGGGAGGAACGGCGGAGGCAGCGCGAGTGCTCGGCCCGTCCATCTCTGCTCTGGCCTCCATAGTCTGAGCCAAGCATGAAGCCTAAAATCGATGAAAGGTGCACTGCGTGCTCGTTGAGCCCACGTGCATCTTCGCAGACCTTATAAAGCCTGTCTCCATGCCACGTGCACAGGGGGTGGCTGTGCCCACCATCTGGTTGGTAGTTGGCGCGGGACGGCTGGCTATTCATCTTAGCAATAATATGTTGTGTCGCGCGCTTTCGAGGATCCCTGCCTTCTGGTCTAGAACGCTCCCCTATTCCCAAGCAGCTGCGCGAAGTCCTCCAACGTGGCGGCGCCCGCATAGCGGCTGGCGCGATGGGGGAGGGCTTCTCAGAAGGCGGCATGGCCTCCAACCCTTTCCCCCCCCCTCCCTCCTCCCTCCTCCCTCCTCCCTCCTCCTCCTCCACTTCCTCCTCCTCCTCCTCCTCCTCCTCCTCCTCCTCCTCCTCTTCCTCCTCCTCCTCCCTCCTCCCTCCTTGGGGGGCTTCTTATTAGAAGCCCGTCCGGCATCTGAGAAGGTTCCCTGGCAGCCCCCGGGCCCTTTCAAGAAAGACCCCCTTGCCTTCTCAGAAGGCCCCCTCTACCCTCTTGGAAGACCGCCTCCCTCGCGCAAGCCTCCCGCGGGCGCCGCCAGCTCTAACTTTCGAGCGCCTGCCTACTCAAGAAAGGGGGGGCGCAGAGGTGCCGTCGCTGGCTGGCGGCTCCCTGGCGGTCTGAGGCACCAACTTCATTGTTGGGGGGGGGGGGGGTGCGGGTGTGACTTTGGTAGTGCAGGCCTGGGGGGCTCCTGCGCTCCTCCAGGGGGGCGTCCCGTTTGGCCACCTGCTGCGTGTCAGAGCTCCTCAATTTCTGCCTGCTTCGGGCAGTCTAATAAAGGGCCTTCTAAAAACACGTTTCTCCAGCTGCGTCCTCTGTGGCCTCGTCGCACTCCTGATGAAGAACGCGTGTGCGAGACCGCGAACGCGACAACTGATCAGTCGCATCTCCAGCTGCGTCCTCTGTGGCCTCATCACGCTCCTGATGAAGAACGCGTGTGCGAGACCGCGAACGCGACAACTGATCAGTCGCATCTCGCCTGGCAACACACACTCTGCACTGGCCTGGCACTTGCTCATGATGAACCTGTATCTCCCGTTGCTCACCGTTTTCGGAACTAGCTGTTTGTGCCACTGCCGCGGCAAAGATCTATATGTCGACGCCGGGTGCCGTGGGGCGCCACTTGTCTTTTTTGTTTGCTCTGTTCTTTGTGTGTTATTGCATTTTTTAAACCTAATTCAAATGTGCGTTGCGAGCTCGCTGAGCCCGAAGCACATTCATAAAACTTCAACGCCTTTGTCCATGCCGCTCGGGGAATGTTGGCGTGGGAAGGCCGATCGGAAAGCTTGAGCTCACTTGAGCTAGCTGGTCGATAATAAATGTGCCTTGCGAGCTCGTTGAGCTCACATGCATCTTCCCAGAATTTAAAAATACCGCCAGTCTCCATGCCACATGCACTGGGGGTGGCGGGTGGCTGTGCCCACCGTTTGGTTGGTGGTTGGCGCGGGACGGCTGGTCATACACTTTAAAAAATGATCAGCATGCGCGTGTCTGGCCATCGCTCGGACGCCCCTTCCCTGTGCTTTTTTTTCGGTTTCGTGCGTGGCTTTTTCGCGGGATGATCCAGGATACCCCCTAAGAATCCCCGCCGGGACAAAGTGCACACGGCCGAGCGATACCAAGGTGTATTACCAAGGTGTATGGCGCGCTTTCGCGGATGCCAGGCCCGCGCGGAATCGGCGGAGAGAGCTCCTATAGCCTTCCGCCTTGCACAGCTGGTGCTCCCCTGCTCCCCCACAGCTGCGCGAAACCCTCGCCCTCCGAGCTCCCCGTACTGGGCGCGGCCAAACGCTGGCAAGACAGCTCGGCACTCCTCCATCTCACCTCACTGGCGGCTCTCAGCTAGACAAGCGCGTTCCGCTACTCGCAGAGTAGCTACTCGCAAACGGCCTGGATCCGCCGCAGGGAACTCAGCAGACATCACAAGAGGGCAGACGTATGGCTTTTCGGACGTCTGCGAGTAGTTAGGCACTTTGCGAGTAGTGGAACGCGCTCGGCGATTAGTGGCTTCCAGCCGCGTGGCACGACCGGCGCGACCTCAGAGCGGCCCCGAGCGCTGCAGAGGGCGACCCTGGCGGCGTTGCCGGCGGCTCAACGGGCATGCGGACCCTGCTAGAAGAAGAAAAAACAATATGAACAGAAACTTTTGGCGCTCCGCGTGAATTTCTGGGATCTGCGAGACCCCCCCCCCCCGGCGCGCGGAGCGCGCAGTGGGCTGCGCCAGAGGGGCCAAGCGCGGATCCAAGAAATCCGCGCGGAGCGCGAAAAGTTTACGTTCATGCCGTTCCCTCTCCTGCGACCTGCGGCGCAGCTCCCTGGAAACGGCACCCGCCCAGCTCCTGGGGCTGCTAGCGGCGCCCTCGCCCTCGGCGCCTTCTGCTGCCGGCGCCGCGACCGCCGCGGGCCCCAGGAAGCCGCTCTCGTCGAGGCACGGGCGGCGCTGCCGCGCGCCCAGCTCCCAGGGCGAGCACGCCGGCCGCCGGGCGGCAGCCGCTTTCTGCTCCCAGAACGCCTCTGACCGCAGGCGCCTGAGCGGGGCCTCCCTCGGCGCTGGCACCGCGGACCCCCTCTGGGGGCGCCGGCCCCCGCAGAGCACCGCCTCGAGGAGCGCTGGCTCGAGGAGCGCCAGCTCGTCGTTCCGCTGCGTGGTGCCGCTCCGGCTCTGCTTGTGCTCGTCTGCGTCCTGGTCGTCGCCGAAGGCGAGCAGCTCTGAGGTTGGGCATCGCGTGGGGGCCGAGCTGTGCCAGTCCGACTCGGGGCGCACCGCCTTGCCCTTCCCCTGCTCGGCGAGAGCCGCTTCACCCTCTTGAAACATCGCGCGCGGGCTGATCATGGCTGGTTGGGTACTGGCCTGCCAACAATCACACACTGCTAACTTCAATAGCTCCGCTGAGCCCAACGTGGCTTGATCCCAAACAGATGCGGACGGTGGCAATAACGAAGATGAAGGTAATAATGATCAACGTTTAGTTAGTGATTGACGCGGGACGGCTGGTTATGAAATTTGAAAATGATCAGCATGTGCGTGTAGCGCACTTTTACGGATGCCAGCCCCTGTGTAATCGGCGAAGGAAGCTCCTAGTCTTCTGACTTGGACAGCTCGCGCTTCCCTATTCCCAAGCAGCTGCGCGAAGTCCTCCAACTTGGCGGATTCTAATAAAGCACGGGGAGCTTCTGAGAAGCCTTCCCGCTTTCTAAGGGGGCTTCTTAAAGCCCTTGGGCCCTTTCCACGAAAACCCCCTGCCTTCTCTCTTAGATCGCCGCCCCCCTTGCGCAACCCGGGGGAGCCGCCGACTAGAACTTCCGAACTCCCCGTACTGGGCGCGACCAGACGCTGGCAAGACAGCTCGGCGCTCGTCCATGTCACCTCACCGGCGACGCCTGGCGGCTCCCACTTAGATGGTACGACGGGCCACGCGACCTCAGAGCGGCCCCGAGTGCTGCCGAGGGCGACCCTAGCGGGGCCCTAGCGGCGGGGCCAGCGGCGCAACGGGTCCGCGCGGCTCCCGACGTAACTCCCTGGAGACGGCGCCCGCCCAGCTCCTGGGGCTGCCAACGGCGCCTTCGCTTTCGGCGCCTTCTGTCGCAGTGATTCTGCACAGCGAACGGCCAGAGCTCGCTAAGGCCACATGCATCTACGCTACAATACTTCGGATTATTCCATGCCCCCATGATCTGGAGGTGGCTGCACCCATTACTTTGGGTTTGGTATGGCAACGCTGCTTTTCACGAGCGCCGCGCCCCCGGCACCCAGGAATCACGGTCTCGCCATGGGCTTCCTCTCACGATCTACTTGGAGATCGTGCTATCGCTCAAGACTTCCAGAAGTTCACGCGGGACTGACGCTTCAACGACCCGCCCGCCGACCTGGCCGTCCGGGCCCACCCGCCGGACCCGCCCGTGAATGTCCGCCCGCCCGACTCGCCCGTCTGGCGTTCTTGCTCGCTTCCATGCCCGTTTCCCCTCTTGTTAAGGGATGCGCCAGCTTCGCGTGGCAGGCAAGGGAAATATAGATACGATCGGACACGAAAAGGGCGGACATCGAAGAGTTGGTATACACAGGTTGAATGGCACGCGAACAGGTCAGATCGAACAGTCGTAGCCTGTTTTAGTTGTGTGCACGACAAACACAACCAAACACACATTGCTTTGCAAACAAGGCGCGGGCGCGCATTTGGGGAACGATCACGAGAGAGAGGGGAAGGGGGGGGCGAGGAGTGGGCGGCGTGTGGGGAAGGAGGCGCCGAGTATTTCTAGCATTGTATCACAAGGCGTTGCCCCAGACGGGGCTGCGCCGCCAATCGCGGGGGAGGGCTTTGGTGCGTGGGCAGCGCCGGGGACAGGGAAACGCCGCGCGGGTTGTTCATGGGGGGTGACCGCGCCCCCCCATCGCCCCGCTGAGATGGTTTGGCCCTTTTTGGTACATGTTGGTGCCGAAATGCGATGGGATCTAACGATCAGGGACATAACCAATCGTGTGCAGCACAGCAGGTGCAAACGTGTGGCGTGCGTTAATGTACACGCTGTACTCACCTGTTAATGCAAGGTGGCAGCGCGTGTATATATATATATATACATACATACACACATACATTTGCATATATATATATATATATATATATATATATATATGTAGACATACAAACATACATACATACATATATATATATATGCGAATCTAGCACGCGAGAAATCATGCTATGAATGCACTTATTTCCGTTACCCGCATTCTGGTATCATGTGTACGTGCATCATGTGGTTGTACGTCATGATATACACGACAGGTAACCGAATGCACGTTCATTCAACGTACCCACATACATCATATTCCGATACGAACTCACAAGTACAACTGGAAACGCCTATGTTTGACCTCCGCGGCTTCACCACATCAACCAAACAAGTGTTTCCTTACAACATCCGTGGGAGCAGGAGGTGCAAAACATTGGGCGACCTCGCCTCGACGAGCGCCGCTTCGGAGAAGGGGCTTCGCGAGTTCCTTTTCGGAACGCCCACTATGGCCCCCTCCCCTTACGGTTCGATCCTCGGCTCGGCCGCCAACAACAGGGCATCCGTCGGCTGCACAAGGCATAAACCATTGTTGCATGCCTTGAACGCCCTTCTCTGGCCTGCATAGACCAAGAGACTGTGACCTATACAATCGACTGTGCTGGGTCCGCGCTGGTGCGCGACGCGGCGCGACAGACTTGACGGCGTGATCCCATGCGAGCTCCCACACATTGACGGCGCAGGACCCCACTGGGTCCGCACTGCGACGTGGCGCATGCGAGCTCTTTCAACTGGGGAACCAAAAGCACACGAATGGGTTAAGGACCGAGCACATCTATGGTACAGCGCCCTCGCAGGCGGCATTTTCTTCTCTCATCTCAAGGTCAACCAGGACTCCAGGCCGTTCCTCATCTTCGGCAACAACATGCTCGTGGTCGCACCCATACGAGAGGGGGGGCCCACACCCTCCACGCGCAAGCCACATCATCCATCGTATCGGGTGTGCCGAATCGGGGAGAAGGCTTTCTCAGACGGCTCGGGAGTCCCACCGCCTTCTGAGCAGTTTTCTGAGCCTTCCCTGGAGACACAAGCGCCTTCTCAGAAGGCGCGAGGGCTTCTGAGAAGTCTGGCCGCCTTCTGAGAGGGCCTTCTCCTTGCTCGCCGCCGAGAGATGAATGCGATGACTTGCATCATGGCCGCAGTATTTTTGCGCGACTCCGCGCTGGTACGCGACGCGCACGACAAGCTCGACGGCGCGACCCTGTGCGAATCCCCCCAGCTGACAAGCGCCGGCCTGCACCAAGTCCGCAAAGCGACGCGGCCCAACGCCATCAGACGCGGCCCGAACGCGTACCGTCATTCGGCGGCGAGCCCCGGGGGGAAGTGAGAAGAGGCGGGCCTTCTTAGAAGGCTCGGTAGTCCCTTCTGAAAGAAATCATAACCCTTCCCCGAAAACGCAACAACACTTCTCAGAAGGCGCGAGGACTTCTGAGAAGTCCCGCCGCCTTCTGAGAAAACCTTCTCCTTCTCACTTCCCCCCCCTCGCTTGCCGCCGAGTCCTGCGAGCTCCTTCAACAGGAACCGTAGTAACGGTTTCCTGCAGCGCGCATTCCTCGCCAGGTGCGTGCCTCTCGCGACTCCCCCTCGCGAATGTCGCCATTCGATCCCCTGCGGGTGGATCGGGCTTCTCCCTGCTGTTTTTCTGCGCCGCGCCGCCGCGCGCGTGGCAGCCAACAGCGTGTGCGCGCTGAGGGATGGGATCCTAAGGATCGGTGCTGTGAAATCCAAGCGCGCGATTACTCCCAACCTTTCGAACGTAATCTTGAAGGTTCGAGTTGCATGCACTTCCACCTTCGACAAGAAAGACTCGCAACGTGTCCTCCGAGCTCGCTGAACAGGAATCCCCGACTGCGGTGCATGAGGAAATTCTGAGCGCGCACGATAGAACAAACAGATTCTACCCCACTCTGCCTCTGAATTTCTCTGAACATTCCGAGACGTCTGATACAGAAACTGCTGTTTTTTTCCGCCCCCCTGCCATACAACTACTTAGGTGCAACCTCTGCCGCACCCTCCCTCGTCTCTACGCTCCCCCCTCGTTCCTTCCTCCTCCGTCTATTCCTCCTCCGAACCATCACCATCAGCATTACCATCATCACCACCAGCATCAGCATCCGCATCAGCATCAGCATCCGCATCATTATCATGATCATGGCCATCAGCATTAGCATCAGCATCCTCATCCTCAGAACCATCACCACTATCATCAGTACCACTCCACTCATCATAAGGATTACCACCATCATCACAATCAGCACCAACACGCACATCAACAACATCACCATCATCACCCTGCAAACTCCGTCCTCCTTTTCCCCCTCCCGCCTCTCCCCCTTTCCCCGTAAGGTTGATCAAACTGTGTGTGCGTGTGTGCAACCTCGCTGTTTGTCTTCTTTTCTTATGTAATCAATTTATTGTTGTTTGTTGTGGTGGATTTCAAGACGACTTTTTGTGTAACGGTTTACGAATTGATTCCTTGCGTGGCGGATTTCACACTGCTTCGCTTTGCGGCGGATTACAGCCGGACTCCTTTTGTTGCGGGTTACACACCGAATTTTGTGACGGTTGCAGATTCCAGTGCTTCTGCCACAATGCCGCAACCCGAATATATCAGGCCCGAGAACCACCGCTCCAGTACTACAGCCCTGGTGGTGCAATCATACGACAGCCGCACTACCACAGGCCCCAATACTACAGCCCCAGTGCTACAGCCCCAGTGCTGCAGCCCCAGTGCTTAGGAGGAAACCAAGAAAATAATCAACAAACCAAAACAAGGAAATCGGACATCAGTAAATACTTTGGAAAATGTTGTGTCTTCAATGCTTTTGGTGTGGAGCACTATGAAAAATATGAAACACTGAGTTTTCAGCATCCAGGGCTCCGGAACGCTGTGGTTTACAATGCTTTTTTACCTCCCAATGCCGCAAACATGAACCACAACGCTTTCAACATTCGTATAACAAGCACCGCTGTGTTTTAGAACGTTGTTCGCTTCCAGCAAAGCACCATGGGGTAAAACACAACGTTCTTTCCATTACGAGTGCTGGGCACACTGTGTGTTACGATGTTTCCGCATCGGGGGGTCTAAACGCATTGTACAACACAGACAGCGTTTGGGAGTTCTGGATGCTGAAGACGTTGTGCTTTCGCGATTGTCCATAGCATCGTGCGCCAACCGTATTGAAGGAATGCCATTTTTCACATTTGTCATTGTGCTTCATGTTTTGTTCGTTCTTTCCACCCCTGGTTTCCTCCCAATGCCCCCCTTTCCGCAGAGATCAAGGAAAAACCCGCAATCGATATATCAATGTGTAACGCGCAACAAAACGCATCCTGTGCGCCGCCACAGAAAATCAACTTGTAATCCGCAACAAAGAACCCATCTGTTACTCGCAACAGCAATGTGTAACCCGACACAGAAGGAATCCATGTGTAATCCGCCACATAAAGAACCAACGTGTAACCCACTTCAGAAAAAAATCCACGGGTTATCCGCCACAGAGGGAATCAGCTTGTAATCCCCGCCACCGCCACAAGAGGCATTCCGTTTGAAATCCGCCCGCGTAGGACTTGATTTGACATGCCAACTTGCAATAACAAATCAGCTCGTAATTTTTTCGCAAAGAAACAGACTGAAATCTGCAACAGGAGACATTCGTGTATAAAGCCGCCAAGAAAAGAATTCGCGTGTAACGCCGCCACAAAAGGAATCTCCATGCGATCCCCCACACACGAGGAAGCGTTTTGTGCGAGGCCGCCACATCAATATTTTCTCTGTAGCCCGCCACACAAGGAATCCGCCACAACCAATTACAACACCAATCAAGTTGCCGAATCGCCACAAATTGCTCCAACGGATGGACCCCACATAAAAACTTAACTTTGTATGGAATATGTAAACTATCAGAATGATGCTGCTCCTGCTGACGCTGCTGCCGGTCCTCCTCCACCTCCTCCTCCTCCTCTTCCCTCCCCCTCTCTCCTCCCCACTCGTCCTGCTCCTCCTGCCCCCCCTCCTCCCCATCCTCCTCCTCCTCCTCCTCTTCCTCCTCCTCCTCCTCCTCCTCCTCTTCCTCCACTCCTCCCCCATCCTCCTCCTCCTCCCCCTCCTCCTCCTCCTCCTCCTCCTCCTCCTCCTTCCCCCCCTCCTCCTCCTCCCACCCCTCTTCCCCTCCTCCTCCGGCGCCTCTTCCGTCTCCTCCTCGTCCTCCTCCACGTCCTCCTCGACAAACGTCCATTTCAACCATCTCCTCCTGAAGGCACCGCGGTTGAAATCCCCCTCCCCCTTCCTCCTCCTCCTCCTCCTCCTCCTCTTCCTCCTCCTCCTCCTCCTCCTCCTTCTCCTCCTCCTCCTCCCTTGAGCGGCGTCCATTTCAACCGCGTCCTCCTGACGGCACCGTGGTTGAAATCCCCGCTGCCTCCCCCTCTTTCTCCCCCTCCTCCTTCTCCTCATCCTCCTCCGCCTCCTCCTCCTCGACCGGCTTTCATTTCAACCACCTCCTCCCGACGCCGCCGTGGTTGAAACCTTCCTCCCCGCTCGCTCCTCTTCCTCCTCCCTCCTCCCTCCTCCTCCTCCCTCCTCCTCCTCATCACCTCCTCGTCATCCACGTCCTCCTGGTCCCCCCCTCCTCCTCCTCCTCCTCGTCCTCCTCCTCCTCGTCCTCCTCCTCCTCGTCCTCCTCCTCCTCCACGTCTCCTCCTCCTTCTCCTCCTCCGCCTTGAGCAGCGTCCATTTCAACCGCGTCCTCCTGACGGCACCGTGGTTGAAATCCCCGCCTCATCCTCCTCTTTCTCCTCCTCCTCCTCCTCCTTCTCCAAAACCTCCTCCTCATCCTCCTCCTCCTCCGCGCGAACGGGCTCGCATGGAATGCCCCTGAGGGTCATTCCGTGCGAGCGGGCTCGCTGATCCTGATTTGAGGGAGTTTCTGTGGAACTCACGTCATCCTCACCCCCGGCGCGAAGAGCACGAGCCCAGAGCGGCCTCCGGCACCGTTTCCGGACGGATCCGCTGGATCCGGCGACGAATCCCAAACCGGCGCCCTCGCCTGAGACATCCTCACAAAACGGGCCCCGGGGGGGATGCCCAGAGGAGCCCAGAGCGGCCTCCAGCACCGTTTCCGGACGGATCCGCTGGATCCGGCGACGAATCCCAAACCGGCGCCCTCGCCTGAGACATCCTCACAAAACGGGCCCCGGGGGGGATGCCCAGAGGAGCCCAGAGCGGCCTCCGGCACCGTTTCCGGACGGATCCGCTGGATCCGGTGACGAATCCCAAACCGGCGCCCTCGCCTGAGACATCCTCACAAAACGGGCCCCGGGGGGGATGCCCAGAGGAGCCCAGAGCGGCCTCCGGCACCGTTTCCGGACAGATCCGGTGGATCCGGTGACGAATCCAAAACCGGCGCCCTCGCTTGAGACATCCTCACAAAACCGGCCCCGGGGGAGGTGCCCAGAGGAGCCCAGAGCGGCCTCCGGCACCGTTTCCGGACAGATCCGGTGGATCCGCTGGATCCGCTGGATCCGGTGACGAATCCCAAACCGGCGCCTTCGCTTGAGACATCCTCACAAAACCGGCCCCGGGGGAGGTGCCCAGAGGAGCCCAGAGCGGCCTCCGGCACCGTTTCCGGACAGATCCGCTGGATCCGCTGGATCCGCTGGATCCGGTGACGAATCCCAAACCGGCGCCCTCGCCTGAGACATCCTCACAAAACGGGCCCCGGGGGGATGCCCAGAGGAGCCCAGAGCGGCCTCCGGCACCGTTTCCGGACGGATCCGCTGGATCCGCTGGATCCGGTGACGAATCCCAAACCGGCGCCCTCGCCTGAGACATCCTCACAAAACGGGCCCCGGGGGGGATGCCCAGAGGAGCCCCGAGCGGCCTCCGGCACCGTTTCCGGACGGATCCGCTGGATCCGCTGGATCCGGTGACGAATCCCAAACCGGCGCCCTCGCCTGAGACATCCTCACAAAACGGGCCCGGGGGGGGATGCCCAGAGGAACCCAGAGCGGCCTCCGGCACCGTTTCCGGACGGATCCGCTGGATCCGCTGGATCCGGTGACGAATCCCAAACCGGCGCCCTCGCCTGAGACATACTCACAAAACGGGCCCCGGGGGGGATGCCCAGAGGAGCCCAGAGCGGCCTCCGGCACCGTTTCCGGACGGATCCGCTGGATCCGGCGACGAATCCCAAACCGGCGCCCTCGCCGGAGACATCCTCACAAAACGGGCCCCGGGGGGGATGCCCAAAGGAGCCCAGAGCGGCCTCCGGCACCGTTTCCGGACGGATCCGCTGGATCCGGCGACGAATCCCAAACCGGCGCCCTCGCCTGAGACATCCTCACAAAACGGGCCCCGGGGGGGATGCCCAGAGGAGCCCAGAGCGGCCTCCGGCACCGTTTCCGGACTGATCCGCTGGATCCGCTGGATCCGCTGGATCCGGTGACGAATCCCAAACCGGCGCCCTCGCCTGAGACATCCTCACAAAACGGGCCCCGGGAGGGATGCCCAGAGGAGCCCAGAGCGGCCTCCGGCACCGTTTCCGGACGGATCCGCTGGATCCGCTGGATCCGCTGGATACGGTGACGAATCCCAAACCGGCGCCCTCGCCTGAGACATCCTCACAAAACGGGCCCCGGGGGGGATGCCCAGAGGAGCCCAGAGCGGCCTCCGGCACCGTTTCCGGACGGACGACCTGACGGCGTAACACGCCTGGATATGCCGACGGGGCCGATCGAGGAGGAGGAGGAGGAGGAGGAGGATCGGCGCGACATGGGGGGCAGAGTCGATCCACTGCGCACCCCTCGCGGCCTCGCGCCCCGACGCGCGGGCCGTGGCGACGAGGACGGAGCCCGACGCCCGCGCGACCGCCTTGGAACCCCGAGGGGGGATCCAAGGAGGGCGCGCCCACCCCGCACAGGCCCGCGGGCCAGGCGGCACGACCCCAGGAGGAGCCCCAGGCAGGCCTCACGGGGCCGCCCTCGCAAGATTCCGAGGGGGATCCAGCACGGACGGGGAGAGCGGGGCCTCGCTCCGAGGCCCCTCCCCGCCCGCTTTCGCCCCTCGCCCCCGCGCGCGGCTCACCTCGGAGAACTCATTCTCCCCGGCCGCGACGACCTGGAGCCACGAGTCGGCGCACTCCGCGAACTCGCCACCGAGGAACATCTGAACCAAGGTGTTCCCCGTCTCGGAGCCGATCGACACGTCGCAGCCCCACTCCGCGGCTGTTGACGCCTCGTCGAACAGCCCCTCGAAAGCCACATTCACCGCCCTGGGCCCGAGCGTGGCCGCCAGCGACTCTCGGAGGGAGCCAAACCGCTCGAGCACATCAACGGCGAACTGCACTATCTGCCAGTTGGTCCCCTTGCGCCTGCGCCTGCGCCGCGGCCGCGAGCCGCCCGCCCGCGCCTGCTCCAGGGAGGCCGTCGGCAGCTCGACCAGCACGTCACAGTCCTCGTCCCCTGCATCGGCCCAGCGGGGCCTCTGCCCCACGGGCCTCGGCGGCACCACGCTCACCTCGCCGACGAGCTCCTCCTCGGCGACGGCGTCGCTCCTCGGCGCGTGGACGCTCCCCTCGATGCCCGTCGGCACCCCTGGCCGCCCCTCGGCGCGGCCGGCAGCCCCGGCGGCGGCCTCGGGCGGCCCCCCTGGCCGCCCCTCCACGATCTTGAACGGCACATTCGGCACGTGGGCGCTGACCTCGACGTCCTCGGACGAAGCCACCTCCACGACCTTCTCGACGTAGTCCGCCGCTGGCACCGCCACGCTCACCTCGCCGACAAGCTCCCCCTCGGAGTGGTTCTGCGGCACGTAGGCGCTCCTCTCGATGCCCGCGGCCACGGGCACCTCCACGAACTCCTCGGCGGCGACCTCCATGAACGACCCCTTCTGCACGTGGACGTGGACACACTCGTCGACGCCCTCGGACGTCGGCGCCTCCACGAACTCCTCGACGTAATCCTCCGACGGGATCGGCACCTTCGGCACGTGAGCGTTCGCCACGACGCCCTCGAACGACGGCCCCTCCAAGACCTCCTCGACGTGCTCCGCCGTCAGCACCGCGACGCCCACCCCGCCGACGAGCTCCCCCTCGGCGTGGCTCTGCGGAACGTAGGCGCTCCTCTCGATGCCCCCGGACGCCGGCACCTCCACGAACTCCTCGGCGGCGACCTCCATGAATGACACCTTCTGCACGTGGACGTGGACACACTCGTCGACGCCCTCGGACGTCGGCGCCTCCACGAACTCCTCGACGTAGGCCTCCGACGGCTCCGCCTCGCTCTCCTTCGGCAGGTCGGCGCTATCCTCGCCGTGCACCTCCGCCTGCCCCACCACGCTCTCCACGGCCCTCGGCACGACGGCGCACACCTGCGGCCAGAGCAGTACCAGGCCGCACGCCACGAGGGAGAAGAACCCCGCGAGCGCCCCCAGCAGCTCGAGCAGCGGCACCGAGACGCGGCCGAAGGACGAGCCCACGGCGATGGCCACCACGGACAGGGCGGCAGCCGCGCTCACGACGCCCGATCCGCGAACGTCCACGACCACACCCACGTCCGCCTGCACGCCGATGGCTGCCCAGTCGAGCTCGTACACGGCACTGGCCTCCTGCCCATCCGTGGCATCAAGGGCGAAGCACTCGACTGCCGGCGCACATCCACGACCGCCAGCACTTGCCGCCGCCTGCCTCGGCTGCAGCGGCCTCGATGAGGGGAGCAGCACCACAGGGAGCCTGGGCCCGGGCACCTGCGGGCTGTCCCAAGCACTGGCCGCCCGCGTGCGCTTCCGCCGCGGCATGTCCGCCCCTTGCCCACGGACTCTCACTCCGCCATGGCCGATGCCACGCCTCCTCTGCGGAAGGCGCGATGGTCCCAGCCCGAGGGAAGCTCGCGACAGGCGGCCTGTCGCACCCAAAGCTCTCGGGCCGAAACTAGGAGGAGGAGGAGGAGGAGGAGGAGGAGGAGGAGGAGGAGGAGGAGGGGGAGGGGGCAGGCGAGGGAGCCCCGGCCCTGGGGGAGGGGCCCTGAGGGAACCCTGATGGGCTTCCGGCACCATGGAGAGGTCCTGTGGGGCGGCCGCCCCTTCTTCTCTCGGTCGTTTCCCTCTCGCCCAGAAGCGCGCGCCCCTTCTTCTATATATACACAAACTCCCGATCAACCGCAGAGCGGCGGATGTTAGCCGTTGGAATTCCAACTTTTAGGAGGGCCCCCCTAGGGGCCACAAGGGAGGTCCTTTCCGCGCGAGCGGGCTCGCATGGAACGCCTCTGAGAGTCATTCCGTGCGACGGGCTCGCTGATCCCGATAGCCGTTGGAATTCCAACTTTTGGCTGGGACCCCCTAGGGGCCACAGGGGAGGTCCCTTCCGCGCGAGCGGGCTCGCATGGAATGCCCCTGAAGGTCATTCCATGCGAGCGGGCTCGCTGTTTCCGATAGCCATTGGGATTCCAACTTTTCGGTGGGACCCCCTAGGGGCCACAAGGCAGGTCCCTTCCGCGCGAGCGGGCTCGCATGGAATGCCCCTGAGGGTCATTCCGTGCGAGCGGGCTCGCTGATCCCGATAGCCGTTGGAATTCCAACTTTTAGGTGGGCCCCCCTAGGGGCCACAGGGGAGGTCCCTTCCGCGCGACCGGGCTCGCATGGAATGCCCCTGAGGGTCATTCCGTGCGAGCGGGCTCGCTGATCCTGATAGCCGTTGGAATTCCAGATTTTGGGTGGGACCACCTAGGGGCCACAGGACAGGTCCCTTCCGCGCGAGCGGGCTCGCATGGAATGCCCCTGAGGGTCACATTCCTGGCGAGCGGGCTCGCTGATCCCGATAGCCACTGGAATTCCAATTTTTAGATGGGACCCCCTAAGGGCCACAAGGGATGTCCCTTCCGCGCGGACGGGCTCGCATGGAATGCCCCTGAGGGTCATTCCGTGCGAGCGGGCTCGCTGATGCTGATAGCCGTTGGAATTCCAACTTTTAGGTGGGACCCTCTAGGGGCCACAGGGGAGGTCCCTTCCGCGCGAGCGGGCTCGCATTGAATGCCCCTGAGGGTCATTCCGTTCGAGCGGGCTCGCTGATGCCGATAGCCGTTGGAATTCCATCTTTTAGGTGGGACCCCTAGGGGCCACAAGGGAGTTCCCTTCCGCGCGAGCGGGCTCGCATGGAATGCCCTTGAGGGTCATTCCGTGCGAGCGGGCTCGCTGATTCCGATAGCCGTTGGAATTCCAACTTTTAGGTGGGACCCTCTAGGGGCCACAGGGGAGGTCCCTTCCGCGCGAGCGGGCTCGCATGGAATGCCCCTGGGGGTCATTCCGTTCGAGCGGGCTCGCTGATTCCGATAGTCGTTGGAATTCAAACTTTTGGGTGGGACCCCCTAGGGGCCACAGAGGAGGCCCCTTCTGCGCGAGCGGGCTCGCATGGAATGCCCTTGAGGGTCATTCCGTTCGAGCGGGCTCGCTGATTCCGATAGCCGTTGGAATTCAAACTTTTTGGGTGGGACCCCCTAGGAGTCACACGGGGGGTCCCTTCCGCGCGAGCGGGCTCGCATGGAATGCCCCTGAGGGTCATTCCGTTCGAGCGGGCTTGCTGATTCCGATAGTCGTTGGAATTCAAACTTTTTGGTGGGACCATCTAGGGGCCACAGGGGAGGTCCCTTCCGCGCGAGCGAGCTCGCATGGAATGCCCCTGAGGGTCATTCCGTTCGAGCGGGCTCGCTGATTCCGATAGCCGTTGGAATTCCAACTTTTAGGTGGGACCATCTAGGGGCCACAGGGGAGGTCCTTTCCGCGCGAGCGGGCTCGCATGGAATGCCCCTGAGGGTCATTCCGTTCGAGCGGGCTCGCTGATCCCGATAGCCGTTGGAATTCCAACTTTTAGGTGGGCCCCCCCTAGGGACCACAAGGGAGGTCCCTTCCGCGCGAACGGGCTCGCATGGAATGCCCCTGAGGGTCATTCCGTGCGAGCGGGCTCGCTGATCCCGATAGCCGTTGGAATTCCAATTTTTAGGTGGGCCCCCCCTAGGGGCCACAGGGGAGGTCCCTTCCGCGCGAGCGGGCTCGCATGGAATGCCCGAGGATGATGATCATGATGTGTGTGTGTGTGTGTGTATGTGTGTGACTGGGTGTGTGGGTGTGTGGGTGTGGCCCGCGGCCCGGGTGCACCCCAGTTAGGATGTGGGGAAAGCAAGAACCCCACTTAGGATGTGGGGAATGATGATGATGATGATGACGATGATGATGATGATGGTGATTATGATGATGATGATGATCCAGATTATGATTCTGATGATGATGGTGAGTGATGAATGATGAATGGTGAATGGTGAGTGATGGATGATGATGATGATTATGATGATTATGATTATGATGGTGATGATGGTGATGATG